TTCCAAAGTCAATTGGAATTTTTCGGTTTAGGCTTGGATGCGCGTCGCTGTCAACGGCGCAGTCAACCTCGGCGTCGCTGGCGTAGTCTGCAGTGAATGTTGCGAATTTTGTGAATGAATTTGCGCGCAACCACAACAACAAAACCACAAATAAAATTTACAATCATCTGTGGCACACACACGCACACACACATATACATGCATATACAAAAATCATTGATAGCCAGCAAATTATGTGTGTATGTATGTTTGTGTACATGTGTGTGCAGCATGCATTTGGCTACATCGACAAAGCACCGCTGGCATTAGCACTAAGCTCCATCTAATTCGTTCATGCAACTGCAGTCGTGCAGTCGCGCGCATTTGTTTATGTGTGCACACGTGTGTGTGGGTGGGTGGAACCAGCAGGAGTTGCTGCAATTGCCCGCAGGCAACTAGTTGACCGTCGAATGTCGGCTGCACACAGCCACGGCTGATCATCTCGCGTTGCTTGTTGCCGCCTGTTGCCTGTTGCACGTTGCACATTAACAATTGCCGGTATCGCACATGTGGCATTGTTATGCTATTATTGCGCCTTGCTGTGTTGTTGTTGCTGTTGTTTTAAGCTGCTTTAGCCATTTTCATGTTGTCGTGCATCTGCATTTCGGCATCGGCGTAGGTCCGTCTGTCTGCACACAGCAACTCATAGCGTGGTTAGCGGCATGTGTATGTATGTACCGTAAGTATTATATATTACGGTTAATTCGACCTGGCTGCAGTGGTCTGGGCGAATGTAGGTTGAATGATAGCGAAAGTGTTGCACGACACGAGCAACGTAAAACGGTTGAATGGCAAGGTGGTGGCTTGCCGATTGAAAGGTCAATCTGATACTGTTTAGGAGAGAATGCAGAATTTGATTTCAAGGACATAAGTGAATACTTTATACGTGAAGGTTATATTAGTAATAGTATTAGTATTTATTTTTCATTCATTTAAATAATTTTTTCATGACAGAAAGCTAAATAGTTTATGGCTACTTTTGTCAAATAATAATAGGCAACCGACCAAAAACCTGATGCCAGCCACACATTAATAAAATGCTCAAAAGTGCCCTAAGCACCAATCTCTGTCAGATACTGGCAAAAAAGTATCAAAAATGTTCAGAACTTAATGTGGCAAAAAAAAATTTTGAATCCGGTATGTAGATTGAGTTGTTGTGTTTTTTCAATTTTTCAAATACTGGTATGCCTTCAGTGCTTCAGCGAATGTTTGATGAATGTACAGTTCTCAGCTCTTTTACGATCTCGACTCGACGTCGTTTTTGTAAAAAATTAGTTGACACGCTTAATATCTAAAACAGTAACCAAAATGTGTTGCGTCGATTCATAAGAGATGTTGAGTTGCTCGACTATCTCTCTAATGCCAACACAACGATTTCAAAAACTTTCTTTTTTAATTTTCTTCAACTTTTTCGATGTTATCGTCATTAGCAGAGGTGGAAAGGCGACTGGCATGAGACAAGTTTTCGATGAATTCACGACCTTCACTGAATGCTCTGTGGCACTCAAATACTTGTGTTCGTGATAAAGTAGACTCTGTAAAACGCTTCTACAATAGTTTCAATATTTCAAGCAAACTCGTTGTTCAGTTTTTTCCATGGCAGAAATCGACACTTTTTGATCTTTCCCATAGCTTTTAAACGGTCTGTTGTTTGTTTGTTTGTTTATTGTGCAACATTTAACTTAGCTGCCATTTGCTTTTGACTCAAAGTATCATCTTCATCCAATCTTCATTGCTTGCAGTTCGGCGTCTTCAAACTTTTTTGGTTGACTTCCACGTTCTTCACTTCTCACATAAAAATAATTAACTCTGAATCGTTGAAACCACCTTTTGCATGTTGCTTCTGATGGAGCATGATCACCATATGCCTCGACAAGCATTCGTGGCGACTCTGCAGCACTTTTCTGCAAATGGAAACAAAAAATTAATGCTTTCTGCAAATCATCACTTTCCGGTACGAAATTTGACATTTCCAAAACAATGAAAAAATATGATGTTGTTTGTAATGACTGTAAGATTATAGAATATGTTTGACAGATGTCATGCTAACCAAACAGAAAAAAAATTATGACTCGTTCACAACAAATGTTCCCTACCAACACGTTTGTATCTTAACGCTCACATCATACCGGTACACGTTCAAACTTCGCACGGGCATAAAAAAAGAGGTTGTACTAGAACATCTAGAAAAAATAAATTTATCGATTGGGTGTTTATATGGGCCAGCTCACAGCTAGTTTGGTTGGCATACAGTATACCCCACTTAATTGACTCCCGGTTAATTGATTTTCCAGCTTAATTGAATCCGGTGGATACGGTAATACGTTGAACAATGATTCTTAATTGTCTATAAGAGCTTCATCTACCTCAGTAGAAGTGCTTTGTTTTGAATATACAGTTTGGTTTCTGAACGTATCTTCGAATAAATCCAAACATGAAAAACGTGAACTAATTCGTCCATTGAATTTACTATAATTTTTGATTACAATTTATGGATGTTGCCGTAGGCGTTATTAGAAATGTCAGCGCCACAAATGCTGATTTAGTCCATTGCATCATGCAACCCTTGAAGGAGCTGACTGGTCTAGAGCAGTTTACAGGATTTATGGTCCCAATCCCAGAGAGTGGGGAAAATCATCTGCACGCAGACCTTATAAAAAATATTTTATAGATTTAGGCATGTCCGTCTGTCTGCCCGTCTATTCTTCTGTCCGTCTATATGTACATACGCGAACTATTCCCACAGTTTTTGAAATATCGATCTGCAATTTTACATATGTACGCCCTTCTCTCCCCAAGAAGTTAATCACCTGGTCGATCAAAATCAAGTTCTTGTTTGGAATTTTTTTTTATTTGTGAACGGTGTTATATGCAGCTTCGGTGCAACCGAAGAATACAGACTAACTTAATACTATTTCAAGTCTGAAATCCAAAATATATTAAATGGATGAATCCGCGAAAAGCTGTTTTCTTTACTTTGTCTTGATTATTTAGGAAAATCCATTTAGATCCGACTTCCGAGTTAACGCTATAAAACTTGCAAAATAGACTTTTATTAGAGTGCTCCGGCAGCTCTATTTTTTGTTGAGAAGATTCTTTAGGCACTAGTTCGACTGCCTTAAAATGATGGAAGTTTATGTTGGAACAGATATCTGACCATGTATAATGTTTAGTTTAGATGTTGGAGTTGACGACGTCCAGAAAACGACTTTGAAGTGATTCAAACATAGGTATAGGGGTGTTAATTGGGTGGATTTGTGGAGCATATAAAGCGGTTCTATATAACATTTTTACCACAATTAAATATGTAGATTTTACTGCTGCTAGGATTATTTGAGTTTCACAAAGCAACTTTCACGACAGTCGGTCTACGTTACCGAAATTGATATCCTCTCTATCCATTTCCTATGTTTTCCACTTATGTTTAGGTTATCGACTCTACGCATATAAAACCAAAACCCTTCGTGACACACTGGGATCCAAGTTCTGCGATTCAGGTCCACATAGTCAGATTGATGAAGAAAATTATCTTGTTAGATTAGGATTTAGGATTTAGAAACTTACTATGTTGAAATTACAACAACAATATATTTCTTGCAATATTTTTCTCAAATCATATGATATATAAAATCAAAATGGAAGGCATTTCCGTATGATCAATACATTAAGGAGCTGAGACACAAGGAAATTCTCAAGCAAACTATTTTCTGAAATGTTTAATACAACAAATATTCACATACATCTATACACACATACAAGTACTTCTACAAACTAAACCGGCGAAATTTCGGTGAAACTCCATGCAACCAAAACAAAAACAGCTTTAAGCCACTTAACAGCTATTAGTGCAACAACAACAACTTTGTGGTAAAATTTCAAGTTCGACACTGTCGCAGCAATGCAAAGCGTATGGAAAATTTGATAATTTTGCAAACTTCATCCTTGTGCTACAAAAACAACTACCAACCCGTGTAACGCAACAAATGCAACAACCATTCAAATAGAGTAACAATTGCAACAACAAAGTAATAGTGTTCTAACCGAATGCTGCTGCGGAGTCAAATGTGCATTACTTGCTGTTATTGTTGTTGCTGTTAGTAAAGTGTCTGAGCTGCAGTTGCCGAAAAGTTTTAAACTGTTTGCAAAATGTGCGAAAACCACAGCATCGGTTTGCTCTCATTCTCACTTGATTACATACACGTCTCTATTTTGTGGCATGAAGTTGGCGTGTTTTTGGTTTTGATATGTATTTCGGTAGTGTTATCATTAAAATTTAAGTAGTTTTGTTTATGTTGCACTAATATGATCTGTTTTCGCACATGCGAGAGTTTAATATTTGAAATAATTGCATGACTGTACGAGGTTATGGAGCATTTAATGGCTGTTGAGGCTTACAAGCGGAACTGAGGTGATGTTGCAACAACAACAAAAAAATATGTAACTAAAATGTGAAATTTTTTTCCCTTTAATACGTACTTGGAATCAAACAGTATTTTGTTGTTGGAAACATTGAAAGAGAATGAGAGATAGGGAAAGAGGAATGGTCCGAACTGCCAGCTTCAAAAGTTTATGCTTACAAATACATTTTATAGTTAATATTCCGAGCAAATATATCATTAAAATAGCAAAGCGCTCGCTTTCAATCATTTTATGCCCAATAAAGCAATTAAAATAGCAGAATAATTACGAATTGAATTACTACTTGTTGCTACAAGTACTTTACTACTATGAAACACGCATTAATCACTAACTGTAATTTTTTATATATGTATACATATGTACATATTAGCGCTATTTTACAGCGAATTATCTAATTGTTGCTTAGGCATACTATTTTTTACATAAAAGTGTGCATTCCTGACTAGTTTAATTAACTGCTATCAATTCTAGTCATCTAGTAATCTGTAAAATTGTTCTAAATATAACCGCAATTCTAGAAAAAGTTTACAATCACAAACCAATTATGATTCAACACTTTACTATTTATTCGTCAACTATTCCTAAATATAACGGTACACCATGCGCCACAAACTACGCGCATATCACTGAGACTATCTCCTTCACATTCCACATACTCAAATTCATCACAATATTCCACTTTGCGCCCCAAACCGAGCTGTCCATACGCATTCCAGCCAGTCGCATAGAGCACACCGCAATTCATTTGCAGCAGCGTATGGCGGGCGCCTGCATATACACGCAGTGGTGTGCATTCCTCTTCCGCAATTTCCAAGCTGTCATCACTTTCTACACTAGCTTTCTTCCGAAGGCATTTACACACTGGCAGCTCGACAATTTGCGGCAAAGTAAATACTGTTGGTTGTTTAAGGCTTCCACTCGATCCTGGTTTAAACATACGTATGCCCAATTGGCCATTTGAGTTGAATCCCCAAGCGTAGAGATCACCAAAGGCAGAAATAGCCGCGCTATGCCAACCACCAGCAGCTATAAAATTAATCTGCAAGAAAAGTAAATTGGTACTACAAGGATTCGAACTTCAACAATATATATACTTTAATGCCAGCCAGCGCTTCTATCAGCACGGGTGTCTCTTCTAGGCGCAGCACATCGTGTCCCAACTGTCCTCGACTGCAAGAAATATGTATTTTGTTTATTCTTTTGAATACTTCTTATAAATATTTTCACAAATTTCACTCACAAACCATTACCCCAACTGTAGACATCACCATTGGCGCTGAGTAAGAGCGCATGTTCAAATCCACTTTGTAATTGTTTCACCCGAAAATGTTTCGGAAATTGATGAATTTTACTCGGCACGCTATAGACTGCATTTGTCTCGCTAATAGCGACATTGATGTTCGAACCACATGCAATATGCGTAATATAAATGTGCGCTGTTTGCGCCGAAGTAGACTTCAGCTTGCCGAAAATAGTTCGTTTCTGTGGCAATGCTTGCACTTCGGCCTCGAGCTTAACCTCTTGTAGCTGGGCATCGTTCTCAGCGCGTACTTTGTACAATTTGCCATTTTCGCACAACACAAGACAGAATTTATCACAGGCGGCTAATTGTACTATGCTCCCCGAAATCTCTAAACTTAATGTTGAATTAGGTGTGCCAGACAAGCAGCCACGTAGCCTTAGCTGATTTCCTGTAGCATAAGCAGTGTAGCTCCAACTGATTGTGACATGTAAAATACTTTGTTCGCCGGTCATTGACTTCTCCAATGATATACCTATAAAACATATAAAATTTCCATATAACAAGACCAAATACACCAGCAAAAAAAATAAGCATTTCCGCACCTGTAAACGCGTTTCCGCTTCGCTGACCATCGACGGCGAACTGGCCGAAGCCATTGAAGCCACTAAAAGCTAGCATTAGTATTCCGTTGTAATATAAATAAAATTTCCTCTTCAAAGTAGTTGATGACGCTGACACATGCTCACTTCAAAGCGAAAAATACCAAAAACAATCGCTAAACAAATATCATCGCGAAGATTCGTAACACAGTCATAATAAATAGAGCACTATTGTATCTATGCCCCTTTACCGTTGCCTCGTTACCTCACGGATGTTACTAATTCACAAACTCTACCGCTGTCATTTCTACTAGCACTGCATGAACAAGCCTATGTATCTGTCTGTATATTCGGCTGTCACAGATAATGAATGGTATGGTGGATCTGCTGTTAGCCCTCTCAGTTAGTAAGTTAGTATACTTTCATTTGCCGATAGTGGTGGTTATGTTTCTGTTTATATAATCCAAGCTCGTGCATCAATAAATTTGATTCAACCTCAAGTTAGCCAGTTAAACTAAAAATACAGAAATACGAGTGTCACTGCATCTTCTCAAGAAATGGCAAGTAATACAGTATATTTAAAATTGTGTGAATATTGCAAGCATACCGTGCATTAAAGTGTCTTCTTTGTAAAACTCAATATTGGAAATTGTGAAATCATTAACGAATTTTTAATAGTTGTTTGTTTATTTCGATACCGTTGTCATGGAAACAAAACAATTTCCTTGAGCGGAAAATCCAGCGCTGCACTTGAGAAATTTTCTATTTACATTTTGATCAGCTGTTTGCTGCTGTCAAAGTAAATGCAGTCCACAGGGTTGGAACTGTAAGTGGACTGCAAGTGTGGTAGCTGTACCACAGCTGGAGCTGGTGAGATATGTGAACATAGCGGAAATGAGTTCTGAATCCGTTACTTTGCTGGTCTGTTTTTGTTTTGTACGAAAGTTAGAGATATTTACTATTGTTTATTATTTTGAAATTTTTTAAGTTAATAACAAATGTAATAAGTTAATTTTTATTAAAATAGATTAGGCTTAGATCTTCAAATGGGAATAAATGTGTGATTAGGTATTGTTTACCATATACATTTGATTTTATGTGATATATAACATTTTATGACTATAAATAATGAGCAAACGAATGAAAGTAACGAGAAGTAATAGACAAAGAATTTTCGTGTAAAAAATAAATCAAACTAAGTTGTAAATAATGAATAGTTTCTAAAATATGCAGATATTATAAAATGTGCATATATATATATACAAAGTTGTATTTAAATTAATTGCAATGGTAAAGAGTTGTGTGCTCGTCAACGTTTTTATTGTGAATATGAAGTCATACATTAGTTTCAATTATTTGAGGTGTTATATCCACTTGCAAGTTAGAAAAAGCGCGTTATAAACAAATAAAAATTAAGTAGAATGTAGATGTGCAGAACTGAACGTGCTTCTATAATCAGTGGTTAATTATGAAAAAATTTGGAGGAATTCTAGGAGTATACAAAAAAAGGTGTCTGCTGGTGAAGAAGAATTTTTTGCTTAAAATTATCTATTATAATAGATGTATATAGATTTTGATCGAAGGAATTCAAAACTTTTTACAAAATGGCGGCTACCCAAAAAAGGTCGTGACTGAATTTGATTTCTTTAATTGCTGAGAAATATGTATATCTTAGAAGGTTGTGTGAAGTTTTCAAGTCGATTGGTGCAGCCGTTTAGGTAATTTTTCTTCATGGACTCTGAAAACAGCGTTTCGAGAAAATAGCGTTTTTAGGAGCCGAAATACAAACACGCTCATATATCCGAAACTATGTACCGAATCAATTTAAAATTTTCGGAGAATATTTTTAAATATAAGTATATTTATAAGCAATTTTTTGAAATTCACAAGTTCATATAACCACTTAAGCGTTGGTTCAAAGTAGTTTGCTGTCTTCGGTATAAAAAATATAAAGGAACAAAATATTCGAAAATTATAATATTTTTAAATTAATAAACAATAAACTACTCAACTGCTTATTACTGATCTAATATGCATACGATTGTTCTATATTATTCAATGTCGCTGCAGGGTTTACTATCACTATTGCGCAAATTGCGCCCCAGCCCCGACAAAGAAGCCAGAATACTGTTACTTGGCCTAGATAATGCTGGCAAGACGACAATTTTAAAGCAATTGGCATCTGAAGATATTGCAACGGTAAATTTTCCGCCAACCATTCGACAAGCACTTTTTTTAATCGAAACTAGCACAGCAACCATAAATACCATTTTATTGCATTAATGATTGTTATTCGATTCGCATGTAAAAGCGTATTTGTACAATATGTTTATATGTATGTATGTATGTATGTATGTATATATGTATATAATTGCTACAGGTCACACCAACCGCCGGTTTTAACATCAAATCTGTAGCGGCCGATGGTTTCAAGCTCAATGTCTGGGACATTGGTGGTCAGTGGAAAATACGGCCTTACTGGAAAAACTACTTTGCGAACACGGACGTATTGGTAAACCAAAAAAAACACAAAACATACATATGTTGCAAGTGCAACACAACTAGGAAACCGCAAATATATAAATACATGGATTCCACTTTTGTTTTATGCGCTTTTTTTCTATACAGATTTATGTAATTGATTGTACAGATCGCGAACGCTTATCCGAAACTAACCGTGAGCTTTTCGAATTGCTTATGGACAATCGCTTGAAGCAGGTGCCATTGTTGGTGTTCGCCAACAAACAGGATTTACCGAATGCACTTACCGCCTCTGAGGTAGCCGAAGCGGCGCAATTGGTGCGTTTAGAGGAGCGCACCTGGCAGATAGTAGGCTGCTCAGCCGTTGATGGCACGGGCATCAAAGTAAGTGGCAATGCGAGAAGTATATAAGCAACATATTTAAAGTTTTTTTGTTTGTTTTTGTTTTTCTTTTTGTAATTTATTTTTTTTTTGCTGTGCTTCGTCGCTGTGCAGGAGGGCATGGATTGGGTGTGCAAGAATATGAAGAAATGAAAAGGTTTATGCAGTTTCTCAGTTGTAAGTGCTATCAAATCGCTTTTAAGCTACAACAACAACAACAGCAAGTTAACGCAACCAATGGCAATCGCATTACGCTTGCTGTAGTTCCTCTACGCATGTAATTAGAAAGTATTATTACTATGTAGTTGATAATTTCAATAGTTAGGTTACATTTGATTTATAAACACTCAATTTCTAACAGTTTATGTGAGTCATAAACCAATAAATAAGCGAAAAATGTTAAACTCAAGTACCATAATCAGTTATGTAAACAAAATTTTTCATTCGAGTAAATATAACACAATACAATTACTAGAAAACGACTACTAGTTTTTCATTACGTTTATTTGAGTATAATTTACTTTTTTCTTTCTTTTTTTTAGGCACTGAATTTTTATACTCTTGCAACATGCTGCACAAAGCTTAATAGTTTTGTTGACCTAACGGTTGTGTGTAACACCTGAAAATATTTGAGTTAAATATAGTGTTATATAAGTATATTAAACTGATCCGATTACATAGAATAATGATAACCGAATGTGCTTTTTACTTTAAATGGGGATAGATGTAGTCAAAGACATGAAAAAATTACTATTTTACTTGTAAATAAGTTGTTTTGCCAGGAAATTACTTTGTTTCATAAGAATAAAAAATAGCATCATTAAATAAGGTTTCGATGTGATTTGACAGAAATTTTAGAAAGAAAATTAATAATTTTAAAAGTAAGTGCAGTTTGTGTTGGATCAACGTTAATTGTTTATAAAAATATATTAATTTAAAAAATCCTTCAATCAGACACTAGTTTTTCATGTTTTCAAAAGGCTTTACAAATTTTATTCAAATTTCATTTAAATTTCACTCAAATTTCATCAAATCTAGCGAGTGGCTAAACTAATCCTGAATTCGTATGCAACATTTTTTAACACAAAGTTTTGCCAACAGCTGAAAATATTTCCCATCTTTGATCTTTGAAGTGAAGGAAATGTCAGAGACCCTGTACTGTCTATATAAATATAAATGATTAGCTTGACGAGCAGATTCAATTTAGCCATGTCCGTCTGTCTGTATGAACGCATCCTTTTTCTTAAGTAGAAAATTAATTCTGTTGATCATTTTTGTATGAAATTTGAGTTATACGGAAATAAAGTGAGCAAATCAGAACTTAGTCCGCCTTTCTTCTTAACTAGAGTATTTTAGTCAGTCACGTTCCTCAGTTATCTTACAAATTCATATGCATTTCTTCTACTTTTTCCCAACAAATAAATTTTTTATAACATGTAACTACTCTACTTTTGTCAAACCACCAACTACAACTTATCTTAAATATTTTAATAAAGATAATTAGAAATTTATTGGTAATTTAAGTATTAATAGAAAAAGTTATGCGTAATAAGTACCCACGCGCTTAATAAAGCTTAAAATTCTTTATATTAATTTATGTTTTACCAATTGGAGCGTGACGTATTAATAAATATAATAGTCTTAATGCTTACGCACTTATGGTATTTATAGCCAACCAATAGAGATGCATGTTGCTACAACATCAATAACTATACTTCATTAATGACTTACGCATGTCGTAATGCAACCACTATCTCGAAAAGTTGTTTCAAGAACTCACGAAGTAGAAAAAAGTGAATCAATTTTCATATGTGTTTCATATTTATTAATTATCTTAATAACGGCTAAATTTTATTTATAAAATACGTACAACTAACAACTAACTAAACTTATTTTAAAAGAAGCAGCCGTGAGCTTTTCGCTTAACGATCACCGCTTTGTAGATCAACATCACATCCACAGCTTGTTGTTCGTTCGTGTTGTTGTGCTCAAACGATCAATACAAATTCTGCCCAGAAGCTCACCACGCTCACAACTCATTGTGTACATACTCTGTGGTCACTTTGGCCTCGCCCTCGTGGAAGCCACTACAATCAACTGGATATTTGACCTACAAAGAGTGGACAAGAAAAGAATAAACGCGTGTAAATTTAAAACGTTGTAGGTAGAATACTAATTGAATTCACTATCAAATTGATTCGATCAACTTGTTATAATGCAATGCAAACTGTGTCACACACACATACGAGTAACATCCATTTGCATATATACTGACTCCACACAAATTGTTCAGGGTTCTGATTTAGTCATGTGCTAATTAATTAGACTTACCTCACAGTTGTAGGGCGCATTTATGACGCCAAACAATGTCCAGAACGGTGTGCCAGTTTCGGTGCTAATGAATATGGCCGCTCCCATGCTACCGATCTTCACGATTTTCGGACTCACACCAGAAATGAGGCCACGCGCATTGCCAGTCGCACTTTCTTCGGGCGAATTTAATTCACAGAGCACATAGCGATCGCATTGTGGAGATTTCGAGATAAATCTGTAGGCACGATGTACTTTAAGCACCGGCTCGATGACCTGTATTGAAAGCAGAGAGTTTAAAATTGTAGAATTTTCCATTCAACAGTTCTAACAAGCCTGAGGGAAGAATTTAGAAATTAATATTTTAATCTGTTGCTAGCTATAATTCCCTTCACAAATAAAAAAGTTTTTCATACAAGAACTATATTTTGAACGTTCAGTTTGTATGGCAGCTATTATCTATCGGCGATATTGGCGTCTACGTCAAATTAGCAGCTTCTTGGGGAGAAAAGGACGTGTGAAAAGGACGATATCTCAAAAAGTGAGTACTAGTTCACATAAATACAGACGGATAGACGTCAGACTGACGGACGGAGATCGACTCAGCTCGACACACTGATCATTTATGTACTCACTTTATAGGGACTCCGACGTTTCCTTCTGAGTCTTACGAAATTAATACACTATTTTCAGGGTATATATATAGTATCGATTATTAGTTTTAATTGTTTTCACCTTTCTCGCCTACTAAGATTTTTTATTTTCCTAACCGCTCTCACTTAATTCTGTCACTCATATAAGCTCTCAATCAGCTTACTACTCATTATTCAAGAATTTCTATCATAATTAGCATAACCTCATTTATTCGCTCGTCTACTCACCTCCAAATTGAGCGTATCGGTTAGTTTGTCACTCAATTCGGTAGCATTGAACTGCAGCAGGCCTCGCGCTTGACCCAATTTCAGCAATTCTTTGGCATAGCCGACAGCCGGTTTGACATATTGGCGCGAGTCGATCTTAACATTAAGATGTTGCTTGGCGACATAATCACACAGATTTGAGATGGTCTCGCTGGCGCGACTGGGGTCGAAGAAAGTGCTTTTTGGATAACCTTGAGATTTGAGAAAACCGTTGAACATCAGTTGCGCTGTCTGAATATATCTGGAAGTAAAATACAACAATATTAGAGGAATATAAAAAATAATAAAAAAAACGAAAAGAAAAATTTTAAATTTCTGCCATGGAAATATATGTATGTATGCACCATATGTAGATTTATAAATGTAGGATACTTATGAGTAAGCTAAATAAATATTACGGCGCTCAAGCATCTACTCAAGTATATACTTCATTATACATAAATATGCGAGTATGTGCTTCAATACATATTTACAAAGGTGAACGTAAACATTGAAGGGAAGTTACGCGGTCTGCCCGCAGCCAAAGTGAAAGTCAGTTATAAATTACTACATTTTTTGTGTGTTTTTCTTAATTCCAGCTGCGCGCATTCTACCAAAAAGTTATATTGTGTTTTTCTTCACATTATTTATTTTGCCGCTAGAAAGTGTTGCTTTGATTCAAAGGTGAAATTAAAAGTCAAAAAATAAGAGTTAATGATGATATGTTTGGTCATTGTGGCGACTCTTCGTTATTGCTTTATTTTCATTGTTGTTGTAAATATTTTACTTTTTAAAAATTATTATTTGACTCTACGTTATTTTATTTTAATAATTTCAATCTCGAAATTTTTGCCAATTTACTCGAAAGAAAAATAAATTCATAAAAAGCAAGTATTTTAATTATAGATGTTATTTTTTTAGTAACGGTTGTTTGTAAGACCTAAAACTAATCAAGGTAGATATAGAGCTGTATCCCAGCAAGCCACAGCTACCGAAACTCGAATATATTGAAAGAATTAGCGCGAAAACTTACATATGCACAACGTGCAACTCATTAGGACTTTGCGTAAGTAAAGAATGAACGATCACACGGACACAAGAGTTTCGGTTAGCGATGTCAATTAGGCCTTAAGAAACTCATAGCAGCTTTAACAGAAATCTTTGGTAGCGCTGTTGGGTTATTTACCGGTGACTTAACCGTTAGTTGGCTTGCTGGGATATATCAAAATGATAATGATGGCAAAAGATCCAGATGTATGTCTCTGTCAGTCCTTCCAAACAATAAACTTGTGTAAAAACTTAGTTAAATAGTTGAAAGTTGGTAAACGTAATACTTGGCAGCTGGGTGGAATTCGCGCTCCCACAAATTACTGTTATTCGAATTTGTTGAAAATTTTAAAATTTTTTACCTCATTCGGTAGAAGTAGGACCATAATACCACCTACATCTCAAACTTTGTCAGTTTGAAATTCTTCGATTTTTTTTTTTATTTGCAATTGATAATTGAAGCCAAAATGTAGATTCCAAAATAAAGTCTGGCTTGGCACATGTCCTTTTCTAGCACTAATTTATTCGTGCTTCAATATTTTGAGTAATATGTGAGATACTTTAATGAAATTAAGCCGCGATGAAACTGAATCTCAACAAAAATTTCATGTTATATGATAAATAAGTATCCCTTCAACGGAGACTTTCTCGAAAAGGCACTTCAAAGCTGATTCATGAAACAACGTTTGAAAAGTTCTCTCTAAAAGCTTAGTCATTCTAATGTTTAGTCATTCTCACAAATTCCAACAACATTATATAAAAATTCGATTAGCAATCTCACCTATACTGGAAGTTTATTTCACAGTCATAGTTGACAAAGACATTCCCTCTACTTACGTTTATGACGTCACGGCATAAATTATTTTCTGTCAACTAAAATGCCAAAAAGTGAAGTAACGAAACTAATCTAACGTAATCTACATTTCTAATATACTTAATCAGATCTTAAATAGTTTGTAGCTTTGTGGATCACGGCTCGAAATTTCGTGACAATAAAAATTTCAATTATACAAATTTCTTACTGATAGCGATTTTACGAAATTATTAAATTAATTCATAAATCATTTAATTACGGAAATTTTCAAGCTGACTGAAAGAATTTAATTATATCATTTGATGTTTCAACATTTCAAATTATAACTGACAGCTGTCAAGGTGTCAGTAAAAATATTAGCAATTCTAATATACCATCAAATTCCCAACAAAAAGCGAAAAAGTCTTAATTCAAATACAATTAAAAAGTACTAAATATTAAAAACTTGACTCCGTTACATTCACACTTATATAAAAAGCTTGAAATCAATTCTTCAACATTGAAACTTCATTAGAACTCATTGTGTCCAACCTCATTTCGCGCTTTAATAAATTCGCCAAATAGGGCACAAAACGAGTCGTGACAAAATGAAATTATTATTTTTTTCACTATTTAGAATAAGACGCTAACCGAATAACTGTAACGCGTTTAAATAAATTAAGTAAATCGTGTGCGACGCAAGTAACGGTGAGGTGTTAACGCTTTCGATGACAAAGTAAACCACGACGATGAAGACGAGGCAGTACGTTAAACAGGTGAGGTGGGAGGAATTGCACGATACCGTGCATGACAATCGAGGGAGCCTGCTATTAACGCACCGGTTCTTGTATATACAGCAAACAAGTTGCAAGTCGAATGACAGAAAGTGGGTCAACACTTTAGTTACAGCAAATCTTTGTGCGAGTAAGACTACGCGCCAAAGTCAAGGAAACCAAAAAAAAGAAACCGGTGTGGAGAAAATCGTAAATACTTGAGTGATGAGAATGACAAAAAGAAAGGCGTTTGCGGAACGCTCTGTGTTTGTGTTCTTATTGTGTTGTTTTTTTTTTCTCATTCTCAAAGTCAAGAGAATGAGCGAATTGTGGGCTGAGACTAGAAATGCGCTCACACTCAAGCACTCAGCTGGAATGTGCGTTCTTGTTTACTTCTTTAATAATCAGCTGTAATAACTGTAATTTCTTATAATTACACGAATCAAAGTAGTCTTAGTTATTAGCAATTGGGAATACTAAGAAACACTTACTTGAGATAGACTTCCGGATTTGCCAAATAACTCGTCCAATCGGCTAAATAGAGCGTCGCCGACTTGATCCAACGTCTGCGGAACGATTGATTGTTCAGCGAATCGAAAAGTTTGTCATAATCCAACTTGCCGTCGCGCCCCTTGAATCCCTGTTGTATCATAAAAAAAAAAAAATAATAAAGCGAGTTTATGCAGAGAGTTCAGTACGCCAATGCAATGACTCTACCTTCAAAATCTTATTCACACCCGATTTTTCGTAAAGTGCATCGGCAAGTTCTGAATTCGAAAAGTGATCCCATACAACGTGCAGATGCTCCAAGAATGGCGGCAACACCCATGCGTGACCTTTGTGTTTCTCCTGGGTCTGTTGTCCCTCAGGACCGGCAAACGAGCTAACAGCCTGCATGACCAACGGCAGCAGGCTCATGAAACCACCATTATCTTCCGAGTCGTCAACTTCATTTTCGCGCATGTTCACATTCGCATGCGCAGCGCGTCGCTGCTGATGATGCTGATGCTGCTGCTGGTTGTTACCGTTGCCACCGTTGTTGGCATTCATGAAGACCGATGCAATTTGCAGTATCGAATCCAAACCAATGCCGGAATCGCTGCCACCGTTACTACGTGCGCCAGCGCCTGCCGCATCTGAATCCGAATCGCTGTTGGTAAACATTTCGAGCACATTACCGATAATAGCTGGATCGAAACCACCACCACTAACTGCGCCGCCGCCAGAGCGTGCACCATTTTGGCCAGCGTTAGCCAACAAACTGCCGATACCGGAGAGTATTTGCATAGCGCCGGCTGCAGACGCTTTGCCCTGTCCAGCCGCACCACCACCTGCATTCGCATTCATGAAACTGCCTATAAGCGAGGCGACGCCAGCAAGACCAGCGCCGCCACCGGCGCTACCACCACCATCATTACCCGTTTGGCTATTCAACGCCTCCTGTATGAACATGGAAGCCATGTCGAGCAGTGGATTCGAATCATCTTGCTGTTGCTTTGCTGAGTGGATAGAGGACAAGTTGACGCAAAGCAACGCCAACAGGAAGACAGTCTTTCGCAATAGCAACATAATTGTTTGTTGAGTTTAACTTTCACAATTCGCACGCACGACGCAAAGTCTAAATTGTTTTGATGAAATTTGCTACACGCGACTGACTTTAGTCGATCGAACGCGGCTGCGCGCAACAATTACAAATATTTGTAGCACCAAAAACTCAGCTCTATAATAACGTAAGAGCGCTTAATAAAAAGCAACAACAAGCAAGTGTATATATATGTATTTATTTATTGTAGTTAGCACCGCGCATGCGCGAAAGCGTCCGTTTACTTGGCAAGAAGAAAAACTACTGCCACGCGCTCGCACCGCCTAAAGACGTTATACTTTCTAAGGAACTTTCTTTCCACTGCGCCGCAGGTAAATGTGAATCACTTCTTGAGCCACCGTTCACAAGTCAAACTCAAAATATCGCTCGTCGTCTCACGAGCTTACCTCAGCGCAGCGCGAGTTGGCTAGTCTGCAACTTGAGTGAAATCACAACAATTGACAAACACAAAGCGCCGAGAACACTGCAAGTTGTGGCTTAAGAAACCAAGAGGGCATAACGCCGACTCAGTGCGGTACACGTCAGTGTTGCTGCAGCGCATTGAGCAACATTTCACCGCAATTTAGCTATGTATCCGGTTGTGTGAGTGCATATGTTGTAAGCGTTATATATTTTCGTTGAGCCGCAACTACTCAACTCAAGCGCTTGAAGTGGCTCAGATTGTGTGTTTTGATAGTGGTTTACCTACTTTCTTTCAGAATACCGCTGGTTAGCAATTTGCACTTATCAAGCCCGCACTTACACACATGCATACATTTTTGATGTTATATGTAAATATTTATGATTATTTTACCTTGGCGTTTCGTAGGTATGTACATAGTATGTATGCAGTCTTCTGATGGCCTTTGAGTCGGTTTTGCTGTACAGATTACTACAACTTAAGCGTTTAAAAATAAGAATTTATGCAAATCGCTTACCTAGTTTTCAGTAATGCACAAACATACATACATACGAATCGATAGGGTATAAATGGGATATTATCAAAAATATTTAAAAGACAACCATAAATTCTACGCCTTATTTACTTTTCATGGCTGTCTACAAGATTTCATAAGCTTATTATATACAAGGGAGAGTTCGATGGTACGCGGAATGAGGAGTAAGCGTGCAAAATATAAATAGTTGTCTTTACCGAAAAACACACTAAAAATGTCAAAGCTGTTGACTGAAAGCTCTTGAGTATCGAAGACCGCCATAAGCTGACTAGTTGATACAGCTCTTATAAACATATTAATTGTCCGACGACGAGAACATTCTCCGTATTCATTCCGCGTATGTATCCCAACTATAAGGTAAGGTCGCAGAGCTAATTTAATATGGCTCTAGAGAGTGCTTCAAGCATTTCTGAGCTCTACTTTTCCTTCGTCGATTGGAAATCCTTACTCTATATGACCACATTCATTGTTCAAAGAGCTCGTTTTATACTTGTAGTTTGTAACTAAGCATACAATCAAGAATTTTTTTTTATGCTCATCCGAGTTGTTTTCCGGACTTAACTATCGATATCAAACGCCCTCATCGAGAAAACTAGAGATACAATAATATCTTGTCGTTCATTTTCACATCACATAAAATCTAATTATATATAATAATCGGGTTTGTGCGTGTTATTGGCTTTATAAAAATAATCCAGTCTATGAATTCATTTATTTCAATATTATTGGAATAGGAAAGGAGATAAGGACATCCCTTCCTGCTAAGCTTATATGTTTCAAAATACCTTGCATTTTTATTCGTCAAGAGACTTTCAAATATGTTCCTCATTACTGAAGTATGTTTATGAACTCGGCTGTAATATCGAGCATGAATGTAAAAAGAGGCAAGCCGAGTTTACTTCTTTACAAGGCAACGAGCTTGTCAACCGAAATTGATTTCCACATAATAAAAATCTCCGAAGCTCTCGCTAAAGTGAGGAATTCTTGGATATGGTCGTTTTCAACATATAAATGCGGATAATACTATAAACTGTTAGATATATACTATAATACTGTTAGATCCTCCATCATCATTCACAGTCGTAGGTTTTTAACAAAAACACAGATAAGTTAGTTTATACAGTGTTTATGATAAGGAATACCTTAGCTACTTGAAACTGCTCTTTTTACCAAAACTATTTTAAACCGATTGCTTAAAAAAATAGAAGAAAACATTTTCAAAGCTATGTTTATCTATTTTTAGAACTTTTTAGAAGTGATATGTTCTAAATTCTCAATCGAACTGTCTTTGGAGTTTAGAATAAATTCCTCCGTTTAATTTGTAGCGTTAGTCTTGAAGTTGCTCGACGAAAATGGGGGATATCATAAATTTTGAGCTGTCATCGAACACCACATACATTTTTTGAAAAGCTTTATCATATTTATTATAAACACCGGAAGTTTGACTTTCCTTTTGAAGAGGTCTCCTGTTAGAAACAACTTTTTTTTTTTGATCGCTCACAATTTAAACTTAGCTGTGTTGTAGTTATACAATTAACTCAATCGGTGAGCTATAAAAGCTGGCCTGAGTGTCCATTAAATATCTCTAACTATGAATTGAATGTGCCGTTTTTTACGTCACGGTGGGAGGAGTACAAAGCTTCCGTTGACAACTTACATGCATAGACGAATACATATGGTATATATATAAATTGTACAATATATCTATTTTATGGTCGTTTGCATTTGAACCGGTTTGTTGTGGGTCCAAATGCAGTCGCCTCCGGCGTATCTATAAAAATGTTTAACAAAAAAAAACCACACGCTGCGGATGCGAAGCAAATGCTTTGCAAACAGTTTTTGGCTTTCACTGTCACTTCCATGGATTTTCTGGATTTTCACATATAAAGTGATACTTGAGCCGCATGCATCACGTCCTGCCACCTACTGAACTGCTGCATAGCAGCAAGTTAGCAACGCGATTTCTAACACTTTGAAGTAACGCTACGTGCAACAAGCGCAACAGTTTTTCGCCAAACCTCAACCCAAACGGATGTGATACAGTCGCTCCGACTTGAGACTTGCGATCACATATACAAAAAAAAAATGCAGCTGACATTTAAAGAATTGGACAAAGACATTGCCGCACGCATTGATGCGCTCTTCCCCAAGAAGGAGTGTTTCATTGAGGTGCTGCCCGGGCATGTGGTGGTGCCGCGTAAATTTACGAGCATTGCGGAGTCCATACGCGATTTACCCATAAACGAAGACGATGTGTGGATGATCTCCTATCCGCGTACAGGTTCCACTTGGGCTCAGGAGATGATTTGGCTGCTGGGCAACAAACTGGATTTCGAAGGCGCCAAACAGATACAACAGTTGCGTTCGCCCTTAATTGAGCTGTCGGCGCTCTTTAGCGAGGATCATCATGAGTGGGTGACGTAAGTCATATCAAAGGTTATCGTTTGTTTTTCTCTTTCACACAACATAACTTATGTAGAAACTCAATTGGCAACACCGTTGATGTTATGCGTAATATGCCACGTCCACGTTTTGGACGTTCACATCTTACGTGGGACTTGCTGCCACGCGGTTTCGATACGGTGAAACCCAAAGTAATTAAGCGGAATTCAGTTAACACAATAACTGGCAGACGTTATCTTTATTTTATATATTTTAGATTATTTACACAGCGCGCAATCCCAAAGATCTCTGCGTCTCTTTCTATCACTACTGTAAGTTGGTGCATGGCCTCAAAGGTCCCTTCGATGACTTTCTCGAGCTTTTCTTGGATGAACGCTCGCCTATGGGCTCATACTGGAATCACGTTTTGCCTTTCTGGCAGCGTCGCAACGATACAAATATACTGTTTTTGAAATACGAAGACATGAAGCGCGATCTGCCGAAAATCGTACGTCGTTGCGCTAAATTTCTAAATGTGGACTATCAACTTACCGATGTGGACTTAGCGCGCATTTGTGAGCATTTGAAATTTGACAAAATGCAGGCGAACCCTGCGGTAAATTTGGAGCCCTTGTTGAATAATATCGACGATGGTCGAAACAATAACATCGTTAAAAGCGGCAATGAAAGTAAATTCATACGAAAAGGCAATATAGGTGATTGGCGGAATTATTTAACAGCGGAGTCATCGAAGCGCTTCGACGAATGGATCGAGCGAAACTCTGCAGAAAGTGGACTAATTTTCGAATATGAGTAATTAATTCATTTGAATTATATAGTAAATTGATTAAACATGGTTTTATATAGTTTTATATGTTCTTAAATATTATTTATAGTTCTATGTAAGGGTAAGTGAGTTAGAAAAATATCATGACTTTGGAATCTAAACATTAAAAATAATTAAATTAATTAATTCTAATGGTCTGCAGTGGTTTTGTTGCCCTAGATATAAAATCGATTTTGGGTTTATGTATTTGTGCTCGCTATTCATGAAACTATCAACGATTTTGTAGGGTTAGCTCTCGTTTAATTTTAAATCTTTATTTCCATGTTACATTGCAAAAACCGGAAAACAAGAAACAATATAACAGTTAGATTTATAATGTAAGTTTTATATTGAAAAAATTATGAAGTAAACAGAAAGTAAAATGTCAAAGAGCTATCAACTTGGATATGTTTTTTTCATCACTTTTGGAACCTGGTGAAATCGCTCTCCCTGTTATTCACCATAATTCTCAAATTTACACCTTTTGAATAAATCAATTTTTTTTTTCAAAGTTTAAATATTCAAAAATATGTCTACAAGACGATTTTTCAAAATTCAAAATATGTTCGGAGATATATGTAGATATTTTGCTGACCCATCATGCAAACTGGTTCCACCAAAACTGAAATTTTAAACGCGCTTTTCTCGAAACTACATTTTTCAAAAGGATACCGACGATTACTCATATTCTACTGGACCGATTTATCTGAAATTTTAGAGAGTCTTTTTTATCGACTTGTCTATGCGTGGAACTGGCCATATGCCCAAATTTAAAAAAAAATTCGAAACAGTCAAAAAAAGTGGTACAAAGATTGTTTTTTGTATCAGGCAGTCGCCATTTCGTAAAAATTTGAAAACTTTTCGGTAGTTCCAGACATTGCGACCTTGTTCTAGATTAATAATTTTTTGTTTTTGGTTTCAGGCTGCTAGGAGGGTTGAAATCGTGAAATTTAAATTTTTACTATGTTTAAAAAATACGAGAAAATAAAAAAAGGTAAAAAACTCTTTTTTTTTAAATCATTCGCCATTTTGTCAAAAAAAAAATTATTTTACTTATCGCTAGTTCATACATTGCAATAACGCTGCAAATTAATAATCTTTTTTTCATTTCAGATGACTAGGAGGGTTAAAATTATGGGTATGCTCATGTGCCATTTTTTTTTTTAAATTTTTTTCTGAACTCTTATAACATTAATTAATAACTGATAAAAAAAATCGATAGTAAACATACTGATTGCCTCTTTTTTGCGACACTTTAAAAATTATCTAAAATTCATGTCTCTAGACTAGAATAACTTAATTACCATAGCCAACAGCGCTACCAGAGATTTCTCTTAAATCCGAATTGACAAATCAAACTGAAACTTTGGGTACGTGGGATTCATCCCTTTCATACGCGTAGGACTTACGAGTGGCACCTTGTATATGTGTTAGATTCCACACTAATTCTTTTAATATATTGTAGTTTCGCTCAGTTTGACTATAACAACATTTTTTTGTAGTTCTCGTTTGTAACGCAAATAATTCATGCAAACGAAGTGCAACCAGAGAATGTAATATATATAATATATAATCTATGTACATTCTCTGGTGCAACATCGGTTTATTTGAACGAATACTTTAATTTCAATATAACATCAATACAAATACAACCCTGCTTATCAACATTTGACAGATGCAATAAAATTGCAAACAAAAGAAAAGATGCAAGCGTTTGAATAGAAGAAAGCGTATACAAAACCCATCAAAATACAACAAGCAACGCAAACGAGCGGACGTAAAGTTTTGTTAATATTTCTATTCAAATTAAACAAAGTGTGTGCATATATGTACATAGGAATATCGTGACTCATCTCCTTAAAGGGTATCAGCAACTTTTATTTGAAACTTCAAGACATTTTACGAAAACAACAACAACAATGAGCGTGTCAGAGGATCAAGTTGGTAGAACTAATGACTTAATAGACGCCTTCGGTTCGCTGAATTCTGCGTCTGGTTCTTCAAATAGTGGTGCAGGTGGATATTATACTGGTGCTGGTGGCAGCAGTGGCACATTCGGTGGTGGTGCAATAGGCCAACTTGCAAATGGCTTCGGTAGTAGCTATCATAGTTACACAGCGAACATGGTAACCGATCGACATGCAGCCGAATATAATATGAGACACAAAAATCGTGGAATAGCGCTGATTTTTAATCATGAGAATTTCGAAGTACCAACATTAAAATCGCGTGCAGGTACAAATGTGGATTGTGAAAATTTAGCACGAGTCCTTAAACAGTTGGATTTTGATGTGAAAGTGTTCAAAGATTGTAGCCTCAAACAGTTGAAGCAGCATATAGAATGGGTTTCCCAGCAAGATCATAGGGATAACGATTGCATTTTGGTTGCGATACTCTCGCATGGCGAACTGGGTTATATATACGCAAAGGATGTGCAATATAAATTAGATAATATTTGGTCATACTTTACACCGCAACATTGCCCCAGCTTGGCTGGCAAACCGAAACTATTCTTCATACAAGCTTGTCAAGGTGATCGACTTGACCCTGGTGTCACAATGAAACGCATCAATCGTACGGAAACCGATGGTGAGACGTCAATGAGCTACAAAATTCCTTTGCATGCAGATTTCTTGATTGCTTACTCGACCATACCGGGATTTTATTCATGGCGCAATACTACACGTGGATCATGGTTTATGCAGTCACTTTGCGCGGAGTTGGCAGCCAATGGTAAACGTTTGGATATACTAACATTATTGACTTTTGTGTGCCAAAGGGTTGCAGTTAATTTTGAGTCCTGCACTCCGGACAATCCAGAAATGCATCAGCAAAAGCAGATACCGTGCATTACCACAATGTTAACCCGCATTTTACGTTTCGGTGAAAAGGGGGCTTTGCGGTAAGCCTGCCATTTTATAGCTGCTTTATATATTAGTGACCAAGTGAAGCCACAAATCGTTTTTTGCAAACTTCAATTTCTAGTAATAAGACTTACTTGCTTAATCTAAGCGAAAGATTAAGCTTCATTTACTAAGCATTTTAGATATTGTACGATATTCTATATATACATATACTTAAAAAAATTCATGACTAAACACATTTGTATGTCTGTGTGTCCTAAGATATAAACATGCCAATTTCTATCAATAATACATATTCCGGTCCGTAGCCAAATCGTTTGGGAGGCATTCTAAATTGTGCCACGTCTTGCACTAACTTATTTTTAAGAATTAATCAATATATAGTGTTTTTTATACTTTTCGAAAATAGAAGCCACTTTAGAATATAAGGAAGCTTCTTTGGACGCTATGTTCAAAGTATGTGTATATGTATAGTATATACTGCCATTTGTAATAGATCCAATATAAATAAAGACAATTTATACAAATATATAATTCCTTAAATGTTTTTGTAACGACCCTGACCTCGAGTAGCTGCCTTTTATGGGGAAGATACAGCATTCCGTCATTTCAACATAACTAATTAGATGACAATGATATTGAATTAAATAAGTCGTGGACTCCAAATTTGAACAAAACACTGCAGCTTAAACGTTTTTATACAGGAATTCTAGTATTTACTGTATGAGTGAGATTCACGAATTGTGAGAACAATCAAACCGCTTACTTAGCTGCTCTAATTCGCAATACGAATATATTTCTACTTCCAATTACTTATACAATATTAATTATTTATATACACAAAGTAAAATTGAATTTAAATTGTCTACGATTTTTAATAGGGTATAGTAAATAAAAAAGGGGGGAAATAATCAAAATATTTATAAGTTAAATTTTATAAATGCACTTTTCTAAATTTGATTGAATTAACACCAACATGTTTAGACGTGTCCGCCTTCCTTCAATTTGCCAACAAGGGCATCCACATCTGGCACTAAAGCACCAGCTTGGCGCACAGGTGGCTCCTCAACAGAGAGAACTTCAATGCGCGGTGTGGTATCAACACCCAAATCCTTTGGTGTAACTTTCTTTAATGGCTTCTTTTTAGCTTTCATGATGTTTGGCAATGTTGCATAGCGTGGTGTGTTTAGACGTAGGTCAGCGCTCAGTACAGCTGGAATCTTCGTCTTTATCGTTTCCAAACCACCATCGATTTCGCGTGTAATGTTCAAGCCAGCATCGGTCTTTTCGACTTTATTGCAAAAAGTGCCCTGAGGCCAGTCGAGAACGGCAGCGGTCATTTGTGCTGTCTGATTGCTATCATCATCAATGGCTTGTTTACCTACGATTATCAAGTCTGCTTTCTCGTCTAAGGCCAACTTTGCCAAAATCTTAGATATATGAATTGGTTGCAATAAGTCGTAGTCCTTGCCCGAAACCTCAACATGTACTCCACGATCAGCACCCATTGCTAAAGCAGTACGTATCACTTCCTGAGATTGTGTTGGACCCACTGAAACGGCGATGATTTCAGAGGCGATCTTTTTTTCTTTTAGTTTAATAGCCTCTTCTACTGCAATTTCATCGAAAGGGTTCATCGAATGTTTCACTCCTTCGGTGACCACACCAGTCTTGTCAGGTTTAACTCGTACCTAAAATAGTATTTTATTAAAATTCTGGACATCATGGACCAATTATTAAGCGAAATAAATATACGATCGGTTGCTGTGTTTTTGATTACGCAAAAGATGGAGATTTATTGATAAGCTCCCAAAGAAAACAACCTGTCGTTAGTAATATATCCTGCAACCTGTTAATTACCTTCACGGCATAGTCGACCACACGCTTTACTCCAACAAGGACACGAGACATTATTTAATGTTACTTCTACAAATTAAAAAGGCACTTAAGTGAATTAACTCAATTACTAAACTTTTTCACTGTGGTCTTCCTAAAATTAGATAAGGCACCCTGCAATAAATGACAGGTCCAAAGGTTGAGCGATCAACGGCACTGCCAGCCGAGAAATTAAATATTTAGAATTATTACTGTGTTTTAGTAAAAAATTCTATTATCAGTACATGCTTAATAAAAAAAATATATAATTTTTTTTGTTTTGTTTGACAGCCGTTAATCAGTGAAATTGACTTTGTCATTAATATTGTAATAACACTTAACACAAATTTTATTTTCATATTAATTTATTTCGATCACTCTGTACTAACAAATTAACAGCTGACATGTTGTTTTTCAGTCAAATAATAAGAAACACAAGAAAAGTGATGGGAACCGAAGTGAAGGCTAAAAAGGCTAAAATTGAAGAAAATGCCGGTGAAATTACAACAAATTGCGCCCATTGGGTGCAGCGTAAGAAACGTTTTTGTAAAATGACAGTAAAAACTGGTGAAAAATATTGTGGAGAACATCAACCGGCGATTGACACAGCACTACCTGTACAAGATGAAGCAAGCCCTAATAAAACCCGGATACCATGTCCATTAGACTCAAAACATACTGTATTTAAGAATAAACTACAAAAACATCTTAAAATATGTAATGCACGCGACAAAGGTGACACACCGGCTTATATTGATAAGGGCATTAATGCTGGCGAGGTTGATAGCGACGCACCGGATTATAGCAAGTTAAGAATAAATGAATTAGCCGATGAAGAATTCTACGGAATAGTGACACGTATTAAAGAGCTTTATACGAAGTATGTTGAAAACAAAATAGCATCATTAGAATTCAGTCATAAGTTATTGGACGAAGAACTGGCTAACACTACATATGGCCCGGAAGCGAGAAAGCATTTGTTGCAGGCAGCGGCTTTACTGGGAATACTTGATAACGACCAACAAATACAACAATGCACAAGTTATATAGAGTTTGGAGCTGGTAAGGGTCAATTGACTTTTTACCTAGCACAACTGCTGGAAACCATACCCGATTCACAAGTTGTGCTTGTTGACCGTATGTCGCTGCGTCACAAAAAGGACAACAAGATCGAAGATCGAACGCTGGTCCATCGGATACGTGCAGATATTGCTGATTTTCGTATGAACGGACTGGAGCTATTATGTCGCTCAAAGCGTTGTGTAGCAGTATCAAAGCATTTATGTGGCGCTGCTACGGATTTGACTTTGCGTTGCATTACCCAAGATGTAAGTGACGACTCAAATGACAAAACACCAAACACTGGCTATGTATTAATAGCGTTATGTTGTCATCACCGCTGCGATTGGCAAGCTTATGTGGGTAAAAGCTTCTTACAAGCGAACGGACTGACGTGCCGAGATTTTGCAGTGATTAGTAAAATGGCTAGTTGGGCGATATGCGGTACCGGTATGAGTCGTGAACGAAGACGTGCGCTAGAGGAGCAATCACACACCCCCACGGAAATTATCGATGCCAATAAGACGCAACAACTGAGTTTGTCTGAGCGAGAGCGCATCGGTGACATGTGCAAACGCATAATTGACTATGGTCGACTGCAGTATTTGACAGAACATGGTTTTGAAGCGGAGCTTAAATACTATGTTGCGCGTGATGTGACACTGGAAAATGTTTGTTTGCTAGCCAGAAAACCCAGAGAATGTTAATAAATAGAGAAGGCGCAAATGTTAGTTGTGCTAAAATGTAAATTATTAAAAGGGAACATCGAAAATACGCAAATTCGATAATTCAATCACACCACATCAAACAGGTACCTTCCCCTCATGATAATCGAATTCAACAAACCACTACTCAAAGCAGGAACCAAGTAAATTTTCACCACCTTATAAAGGAACGGCTAATATATGTATGCGCAGATGTTCTTTGGCATGCGTGCTAAGAAAAATTAGAATAACAAAAAGAAATAACTGATTTTGAAGATCATTTATATAATGAGGAAATTAAATAAAAAGAAATTTTATAAAAAAGGTTTACATAAATTAAAAAGGAGTAAAACTACATCTGTGCTAGGATGTGTATTTGCAAAAACGGAACGGACCCGGATCTTATCCGACCAAGGACTGTCAACTCGGCAAAATTCTGCCGCTACAACAACAACAACAATGAAGGAGTAGTGTCTAATCTGTGAAGTCAAAGAGCTATTGTCGTTTACTAGTTTTAAAATATCAATTAATATGTGAATATGTATTTGTATTTTCCTCGATATGCCTTTTGTAAAAAAACCAAACATTCACGCAAGCGACAAAAAAAAATCGCAGACGCACCATCATCGACCAATAAGATTCGAGCAAGCTTGCGTTATATTTTCTACATATTTCATATTACAACGCCAACAAATTCATTCATAAGGAACGCGCGTATGCTACAAAACGAAGTGTCATCGTTTATAACTCTGCACTGCGCTCTTTTTTCTGTGCGATTGGTCAAACAAATTTGGTTTTCATATGAAATTCCTACCACAAATGCACGAAATTCAAGTTTAAATAAAAATGAATGAAATTGAATTGAGTGTTGCCACAAGCTGCTTCCTCACGATGATGCTAAAAATCAGAAATTGAAGAATTTGTCTGATGTTCCCTTCAGAAAGGAGAATTGGCAACATGACCTATTAGCGAGTGAAAATAATATATTAATTTTACATATAAATGCAGCCCAACCGGTAGTCGTAGTATTTCAAAAGAGGATAAGTCAATTTTCAATAGCAAAGCACTGCAAAAAACCAAACGCGACAACATAGCCGACCGACATTGTCGCAAATTATGGATTCAAACAAATTTCGTCAACTCCGCGACGATGCGCAAAATTCGGCGTCAATATGTATGCAAGCATCAGCGTACGTGTACTTATGAATGTATGATTTAAATATGATTTTCACATTTGTATAAATACGCATAAATAAGGAAATATGCAATAAACCCAAACATATGAACATATTTTCCTGAAATATTCTAAATATTTCAGTGAGTAAAATAAGCTATTTAAGTAACTGAATTGAGATTAGCTAAAATGTCAAATAATAAAATAAAATAAAAATAAAGATCAAGTCTCATAAGTTTCAGGATCCGAACGTAAATGCTCGTATTCGGATTGACCTTAACTCCTTCATGCTTACGACCTAAGCCACCACAAAAGTGAGAACGCGATCGCCTAGCCACTGTTTTATTGCTATCCTTTGCCTATTAGATATTGTTCATGCAGCGCACAAAAATGTGTTGAAGATATTATCCATTAATTACTTATTTTGTTGTAAATTCTGCGGCTTTAACTAATAATCCTCTTATAAAATTTGAAGGATTATTTTAAATAACAAAAATTATAATTTTTTGGTAATATGCAAATGTAAATCAGCATGCGCATAATTCATTTGAGAACATTCTTTGTGTCTATTTATAGCCAGCATTTTCTCTGTTTCGTACATTGCCTGGTGTATTTCAAAGGAGTCGAAGTTATATTTTTCGATGTTCCCTCTTGTGAAAAGCTCAATTTAGTACTACATTTGCGCCTTCTCTATTTATTAACATTCTCTGAACTAACGTTAGCACTTTTTGTATAAAGCCTAAAAGTATGCAATGATTTGCTTCAATCAAAATTGACATTCAAGCAACATTTGTTAAGGCAACGTTTGTTACTTTTTAATTTATTTACGTTCATTAGGTATGTGTAGTTAGCAGTATTATTCTTCATTTAAACTTAACCAGTTTTGTTTTTGGTTTGTACATTTCGAAAAGCATTTTTAGAATTTGTTTTGATTTTCTTTTCTCAAACTATTGAAATTTGGATTTCCGTTTGTAAATATTTCACTTGCGGTCAGCTACTTGCTAAGCAATTGCAATTAATTTGCAAAAATCCCTTCACAGCACACCGCCTGAACTCGCAATTGACTCTGATTAATTAGAGAGCGCGACAGAACGCCTACGCCAAACAGGAAAAACGATAAACCACAAATGTAAAAGCATGATTTAAAGCGTTCGCTGTCGGTATGTATGCATGTATGTACATACACAAACACATATGTATGGTGGCAAGCAAGCATGAATGAATAGATCACGAGAGAACGCAATGCAGCAGTGGAAAATCGTTTTTTAGCTTACATATATTATATAATGCAAGTTTGTATGTAGTTGAGTCTGCACAAATTGGATTGTTGGCAATAAATATACATTTATATATTGTATGTACATATGTACCTGCGTATATGGTACATAAGTATGTGTATCCGGCATGTACTTAGATGCAATGGTGTCTTTTTAGATTCTACCAAGCGCAAATCTGTCAATCATTGTGGTGTCTGCTGATCACTAATTATGGAAATTCGTTGTAAGACAACAAAACCACGGATCGTTGACAAATTATGCGCATTTTAATAATTTTGCTTAGCAAATTAATTATTAAGCTTTTAAAAGAAGGGCGTCAAAATTGACATACAACATAGTTGGCGCCGGCGCTGCTTAACAGCGTGTATTATCAGTTAAAATAAATTAATTTTCTTAATTATGCGCGATATTAAATAGGTTAAGAAAATACCCAATGTTGAAAGTGTATCCGATGTAACCGAATGAATATCGGTTGTCGTATGCACGTCGGATTTACGTAATCGGCATACACTCGGCTTTTTAATTGGTCGCAGACTGTTAACTGTGAACTCGTCAATATTGCTCAAGATTTTTGGCGAAATATTTTGTGCCGCTACAACAACAACAAAAACCGGCGAAACAAGGGCCATTCCAACGCTGTGTGGTATTATCTGAATTTTTATCGGAAATTTCGACATATTACGTCATCGTATTATAACTATATATGACTTTTAATATACCAAAGCAAATTGTAAGCAAGTGTTCTGTTACTAAGTGATAATCTGCGTTCTCTTTTCCGCTCCAATCAAATCCACCGATTATGGTTTCGTTGTGTTTTGTCGCTTTAAAGCACTAAACTTGCAGTTAATCGCATTGCGAAATGTCTGTCCTAATGCAAATTACCGTAAAAGTATATGTAAATGGTAATCCAACACCAATCGATGAGGAAGGTCATGTCTTGCAGCGTTTAAGGAGCGCTACACTAGAAACTGAGAGCGCCCGCTCAAATGCTTTGCGCACAAATGGTGCGCTGTTGTTCTTATATGTATATTATAATATGCTATATAAATAGCAGAGCTGTTTGCGCCATCCACGCGACCACAGCGTCTGGTTTAGAACACTTATAGCGCGCGGCGCGCTTGTATTAGCCTTAACGGTCGCCAGTTACTGTGACGTCAATATGCACCCTACCCACCTTTTAAGTAAATAAATAAAAACAACCGTATAACCGGAGACGACGACGACAACGACAATCGACCAACCGCGCGCGTTCGTGCGAACCACTAATTTAGATGCCACTTTCGATTTCATTATCATTTGCGAGCCGACGCTTTGTGGCCATGTATATTTATTCATGTGTGTGTGTGTGTGTGTAGTTGACGTTGGTAACAAGTCGCACTAAGAGCATTGTCAATCGCCAACTGCAGCGTCTCAATTAATTAGCCATTCCCTTACAATAATTTGTTAGTATAAATTATTTATATACATACACATACCATACTCGTATGTTTATCTATTTATACGGCGCCCGCCGACAGCCAGCCACCTGCCGCCCACGTAGCGCTCTGCTGTGGCATGACTTGTTTAGCTGCATGTGTGATTGTATGTGTTTTCCCAGCTTGGTACGCGTTGGTATCGCTGTGCAGTTGTTGTTGTTGTATGCTAAGTAATCGTCTAGTACTAGCGTAGTTAATTGGCGCGCCGGTATTTCCGCGCCGCGCTATACTGGGCGGTACGCAATTAATCGCCGCCGCTTACCGCCAAACTCGATTTGCCTCCAACCAATTGGCATGTAATCACGTGTTATACGCTAACCACTATCGCCTGTAACCCGTTATGTGCCGTCATATTGACCGGTCACGATTTGCGCGTAACTCTTAACCCCTCTCAAACTCTCTCTATCTGTGCTCCTTTTCCACTGCAGTTCCTGCTTAGCGCTCGCATATTGACGGAAGGTCATTGTCCGCGCAACAGTGTCACTTTCATTTGGACTTGTGCGCGTCTACTTACGCTTATTTTGTTTTTGCAAACTCACTGTGTGATCACAAAAATTGCCGCGCCGCAAGGAAAAGCCCATTCACTAACGACGCTAAGCTATGTGTTGTGATCGAGAGAGGGAGAGAGAGACAGAGAAAGGCAGAGAGCGCGCGAATGAGAGGGGCACTAGCACTGGTGGTACCGTTAAGTCTCCAATGAAAATAAATGCTTCGCTGCCGCTTGTAAAAGCGATTTCACTTTCGCACGCTGCCTAACTTGACGAACTTACTTGATTGTGCTCCGCCACCGGTACCGACACCGCACCACATCAAATTCACATTTTCTCTCTACACCTGCGCATCGCTGGCAGTGGTTGCGGCTCCCACCAAGCTGCTCTGTCATCATTGCGGCCAAATTACCTCTTCATTTGCGCATGAATGAATTGTGCGCAAACGCGCAATGCGGCTGATTCCGGATCTTTTTGCTATGCGTTTGCTGTGGTTGTGCCTGTGCCGTTTTCATGGCTTGTCGGTCTTTACTCGGCAGGATGTTTTTCTTTTTGATGCCAAATTCGTTTTTGATGCTATTATTGCTAGTTTCTGCTGTGCCTGTTGCCCTGTTTTCTTTGTCGTTTTTGTGTGCTGATTTGTGGCAATCGGCAATCGTTGTTGCAACGCTCCCATGTGGCAGTGAAAGTTTTCTGTCACGGATTAACTACTTTGGAGTTCAGCGCTTGGCGTTGCGCTTCTTGATTGCATTCGCCCGTCGCGATTACACGGATTCTGCAGTTTTCGTTGCCTATAAAGTGCTGTTGTTGCTCCGGCTGACGACTGGTTTCTGCCGGTTTCACCTTCTGTTTGTGAGAAAAGCGAATTATTGCATGAATCCGCATCAATTGAAAAGCGCACACAAGCATACATACATACTTACGTATTATATATTTATAGTATACAGTTTGTTTGTAATGAGGCGGGGAACGCGGAGAAGGCGTGAAGCTTTTTACAAGA